TTTTATATCAATTGAAAAAGATAAAGTTTAATGCCTGACAGCGACTTTGTAAAAGATACTCACTCAAAAATATCTCTGAAGCCTTCAACACCAACCAACCAAAGATACTACTTGAATTATCCAAACAGTGCCATACTATCCCCTCTTCCTTTCTGTAAGACCTTCTAAAAATTATTTGTTTCAATAGGGAAGGAAAAGAAGCATGGTTCACAGTGCAATATTTCCTACAAACTTCACTCCTGTTTCTTCTACAAGGCCTGCTAAAGCTCAGTTACCTTCTCTCTCTCATATTCTTCCTACTTCTCTTCCATACAGAACAAAAGGGAGAGGGTTGTACCTCCCCCCATCCGTAGCTTCTATCCCATATCAACCAGTCAATGTGGATTACCTGGAACAGGAGTTCAGCGGCCATGGAGTCACCTTTGAAGGCATTGGTGAAGAAAATTGTGTTGCCAAGATGGAGCTGCAGAATGGCAGCTCTGCTACACTCATGCTTCCTGGCGGTTTGATTACATCCTACAAGGCTCGAATGTGGCATGGAGGTAGTCTTGAGCTGCTGCACACTACAGTCTCAGGGGGGGAGTATGGTGGAGATCCAGTTGTGCAAGGAGGGTTGGCTTCAGCCTTATTCTTTGGTGGTGGGAATGGTGCAGCTCCTTGGTCTCCCAGTACTTGGATTCTGAATGGTATCAAAGGAAATTCTCAGGATTTCATTCAGGTCATTTTAATAATCTCTCTTGGTGCTAATAATAATATTCTGAGATTGTTTAATATCTGAAAGATTCAAAGGACGTAAATATCGTGTAATATTTCTTTGTTATGCTTGTTCTTAAGAGGAAAATTTCTGAAGTATGGAATTTGAGTAGTGCAGGTTGAACTGATAAGTAGTAAAACAGAGAATATGGTGGAAGCAAGGCATATTCTGACACTCAGAGAAGATGTATTAAGCTTGGAGATTGTTATCTCAAACCTAAGCTCATCACCCCTGCAGTGGACAGGAACTACCATAAGCCATCTAACTGTGAGCTCACCCGATGCAACGTATGCAGTTGGATTGGAAGGATCAAATTTTCTCAGCATACCACCATTTTTGTCAAATTTCAGTTTAGTTCCTCCAGAATTCAAACAGAAAAAGGATTCTGGACTTGGGAGATTCTGGGGTCAAATTACAGGAAATGGGTTTCTTAGCAGCTGGAATTCAAGAAATCAAAAGAATATCAGTGAAACAGAAAGAAGGAAGAGAAGACCTGAAGAAGAGATGGAGGGTGAAGAGGATGATAATTATAAGCAGTTAAATGAAGAAATAAGCAGGATTTACACTAGTGCACCAACTTACTTCACAGTCATTGACAGGGTACCACTTGCAAAATCTCAAAGTTAAGTATTGTCTTTCACTCTTTCAATTTTGCTCTTAATTGTAAAACCCTTTTCCTTTCTTCCTGTGGAACAGGGTCGAAGAAACTCAGTTGCAGTAGGAAGAGATGGATTCAAAGAACTGTACATGTTCAGCCCTGGATCAGGACATGAATGTTATGGCAAGTATGCTTATGTCTGTGTAGGTCAGTCAGCCATGCTAAAACCAATAATCCTGGGTCCAGGAGAAGTTTGGCGAGGCGCACAGCATTTACAAAATCCTAATCTCTAAGTCAAAGTGCATGACATGGATAAAAACTTCATGCCTGCTTGCAGAAGAGAAGTTTTTGTTGATTGCAATTACAATGTAACATGTCCTGATTCTTCAGCTACTAATTGTATAAGTGAAAAAAGAAAAAATAATAATAATAATTGGGGAAGTCAAGTCTACAAAGAAAAGAAATGCCTGATAAGCAAGTTTCATTAGATGAATTATGTTTCTATTTAACTACTAGAACAATATTTTCTGACAAAATAGGTGAATCAGGTCGGAACAAGATGATCCCCTTCATCCCAACCAGCACTACATATCAGTGCAATGAAAACTACAAATGTAATGAAAAAGAGAATGAAAATCATTTTAGAACCTTTCTTCCAGAGGCTAATCTCAATGCTAGGCTTCTGAATTTTAGTTTTAATCACGGGGGCTACCCCGTGAGACTCTTGCACATCACTGTCAGCAGGATCATCATCTGCAGATGCTACAGATTCAGACATGTCTTCACATTGCTCACCACCATTACATAAACTTTCCTTCCCATTAAGTTCATGCATCACATCATGCCGAAATCCATTTTGCCTCGGAGATGAGCTGGAGTGAAATCTTCCAGATGATGGACTTCTGAACCTCCAGGTTTCTTTTTCAGAGATATCTGAGTTAACATCATTAAAATCTTGAAGCGAGTGGATGAGCTTCCTTGGAGTGGTAAAGATGTTAATGTTGTCAACATTAACGCGTGACCTCTGAAATATATTCAGTGACAAAATCAATACCAAAAAAGAAGTTCAAACAAATTGTCTGTGCACTTTTTTAGCACCCTAGGACAGTACAGCTAAAAAAAATTTTAAACTCAATTTGGGCGGATAAACTTTATAGCTTTATGCTACAATCATGTCATTGCTAATATGGATTCAGAAGCCTGAGTTAAGTACTCGACACATTCACTGAAAGTTGAACTAAAAACAGGCAGCAAGTAAAAACCCGTTGTCTCTTAAAATGCTGACAGTAGAAGTTGCACCTATTTGTATAAAATCCAACAAAAATAAAAAGGAGCATATAAGCCAGAGAAAAAACAAGTTGGAATATTTTACCTGAGGACTAGGAGTGGTGCCTCTTATTAGGCCATTTCTAGGAGTTCTCTGTGAGAACCCTGCAAATTCTTCAGTGTAATCTTCTCCATTGTCGGCAAGTTCATGTTGCTCAGAAGGTGAGTTATAAATGGGAATTCCCCGAGTTAACTCAGACAAGAAACCATCTTTGAGGGATACATCTACTCCTCCATTCTCATAACTCCAGAGCTTCCTGTTAACGCTCCTACAATCATGTATCCTGTTATGAGAATTCTGAGTCATTGAGACTGGTGACTCAACCAAAGAATCATATTCACCAAAGGAATCAAGGGTCTGTGATTCAGGTGATGCAGATGCAGGAGACCTAACACCAGAATTCAATAAGCTTCTCCTCCGACTGTGTTCTCTCCTACTAAAATTGGACCCAGTAACTGAACCACCACCATTATCAAATTTTGACCCTTTGTCACGAGCTATTTTCTTTGCAGTTTGCTCAGCTTCATAAGCAGCCCCTTTAACAAAAGCCATCTGATCAGATTGACACTTACGCATCTCTTCAATAATCAACTCCACTTCTGAGAATATGCTCCTGGAATCCAGAAATTTCATCAAGAAATTTATCATCTGAATAGCTGAAAATCGTTTCTGAGAATTACCCTCGGCAAGACCAGCATTCGATATTCTCAACCCAGAATGTATTAACAGTCTCCCATATGCTTCAACAATTAGAGGATTATGCTTTGCCAGAGCCATTACCAGACCCATATGTGCATTAGTCTGAGTAGACTTCTCCTCCAGAGCCCCAGCCACATTTTGACAAACCTTGTTAACCATCTCATCTGATGCAAACCTCCAATTATCAGATTCCACAAGGGCCTTCAAGCAAAGAGCAGACCCTGAAGTTAGGCTTTCTAGAGAACCTAGGAGAGAATCTGACAGAGGCTTGCAAAGAGAGATAATAATGTGCCTCTTCTTATCTTCTGGAGTGGTTGGATCGATTCCATATCTTGCAATTGCAGGGACAACCTTTGAGCATGCCTGTTGAAGAGGGAAAGACCCTGCACTGGAAGCTAGTGTCTTGATAATTGTTGACATGATGCTGTCAATCTGAGGCACAATCTTCACACCATGGACTCGTGCAAGAACCTCATAGAGTGAGATTGTGTACTCCCCAGATAGAGACCCTGTTTCTTTGGTCTCAGAAACTTGTGCAAGGAAGACTGGTATTGCTTTTGAATCCAGATCTTTAACATACGATTTCAGAGCTCTCATTGCTGATTTTCGACTATCGGCATCCTTGTCAAGATTTGCCAGCTCTCGCCGAAGAATTGGACTAAGATTTCTACCCATCATTTACCTGAAACCATTAAACAAGATAAGCCATTTTTCAAAGAAACTAAAATTATACATGACTTTCATAAATATAAGAACGGAGCATAGAACATTACAACTTTAATAACTTTACAAAAGATGCAATCCTAACCTTTATTTTTTATTTCTGAAGGATATATGATAAGTTTGGCTACCTAAAACCCCCAATTCAAAGCTGTGGACACCAAGAAAAAGACATACGAAAATCTGAACCTTAAATCTTATACTTATAGTGGAATCAACCTCACATTTAAAGATTAAGTTGAATAAGGTTTGGTCAATCACAAAACTTTAAGCTAAGAATTTCAACTGCATAACTTTTCCATGTTTTCTAAGCAACCAAACAGGAAAAACAAAAAAATCAACCCCCCTTAGAAAACGAAGAGGCATTGCATAGTTTATACAAAACCACAGAACAGAACATAAAATAGCAGATGGGGTATCTTTGATTTCAAGTTAAAACGTCACTTTTAGCCCAAGAAGAAAAGTCCAAAGCAATGAAATTTACCAAAGATACCTAAATAAAATCCTCAAAGCCTTTTGCTTTATAGAGTAGAATTTAGAAAGCAGAATTCATTCAAATCTACAATGAAAATAATAACAACACAGATTCAGAGAGGAGACGGCTCTGTCAGTGGAATCACAAAACAAGATCCCCAAATCAAGAAATGGGAACCTCAGATTTCTCACTAGAAAAACAAACAAGAACTAAGAAAACCCACTAAGGAAAAAGATAACAGGAACTCCAGAAACCTATACCTTCCAGAGACCTTTCTCTCCTTATACACTCCCACAACCCTTCTTCTTGCTCTGGTCTCTTTTTTTCAATAAAGAAATCAAAGAAACAAATGAATCTCTCAGATTCAAGAAGCTTAGCAAATTCTAGAATCCAGAAAAACAAAAAGCCAGGATTCAAGAACAAATTTTGATTAGGTTGGTGGGATGGACGTGCTGTAGGACTTTAAGAGGGTCTACATGAAATGTGGGGGTTTTAATGGTTTAGGGAAATTTATTTCTTTTTTTGAAAATGATTTGGGTAACTTTTTTCATTTTCTTTTCATATTATTTTTTATATAATATTATGTGTTATATAAATAATTAATTTTATTTATTTATTTAAAATTTATAATATTAAATTTATTTATTTATTTAATAATATATAAAAATAATACAAAAAATTATCTTTATATCATCAATTTTTATTTTTAATATTATTACAGTGGATTTTCAAATTTTTGTTTTTGGCATTAAAGAGCGGGGCCGTGTTTTGAGGGGTTTATCTGATTCCGATCTTTTTTTTGGGTGCATCTGTCTGATTCCGATCTGAGTATTCAGCTTTCTCACTTTTTTTCGTTCAAATTCAAATCTTTGTCCGAAATCCCGCCGCTAACCCCTTTATTGTGGGTCCCACTCGGAAAATTTCATGTTTGACGATCGATTGCTGTGCTGCTAGTATTATTTTTAACAGAAGACGAGCACGCGTCTTTTGTCCTTTTTTTTTTTTTTTTT